AAATTCTGGATGATCAACAAATGCAAGGAGAAAGACACTTGCAATAGTTTAACTTGTTATGTTTTATACTTGCTATGAGAAATAAATGATTTTATTAAGCAAGAATTACAATTTTATATACAGATAGATTATTTTAATGGTTTATTTCAGGCACCAGATCCGATTATATCCTTTCAGCATATACTTTACTTTAAAATTTATAATATTGTCGTAGAAATTAGGATAAAATTGTTAAGGAGAAGAGATTGTTAGTGGCAAAAGAGATATCAATATTTGTTACAGAGTACAATTCGCAGCTGGTATTTCAGGAAAAAACGGATTCAAACAAACCAACTCTTTCTTCCAAATACCCTTGGGAATCTATATGTACCTGAAAGCTAAAAAAATCTTTTCCTTCTTTCCTCATTCCTCCCCTCCCTCCCTTCCATCCTTGCTTTCATCTGTCCATTTTAGAAGACTGCATATGGAAACATCTATAATTTAGGGGGAAATACTACTTTGTAGTATTTGGACAATTTTACAGTATTAGAAATACCAGGAACAAGTCATAAAAGTATGAAATTTAATAAATACACAAATACAAGTAAAAAAATCACTATGCTGAGTGGCCGCAGTTGGTGTATACATTGTGGTTTGTGGCAGGTATGAATGGGAAGCTAAATGGTAATAATCTACATCCATGTTATAAATATATGAGTAGATATTGTCTTCTGGGTTAGATATTTTAAAAAATCTATACATTAATATGGATGGGAGTCCCTCCCTGCGTAAGTAATGCCGCAATTTGTTTGGAACTGGGCATATCCTCACTAGCTATAATCTTGTGGAAACGTGCAATTGGCTATTGGTTGTCCCTGTGGACTAGACTCCCAGGCTATTACCTAGGCCAATGCCTATGGCGGGACCCTTTTCATAGTCCTTGGGCCCATAATATCCATACAAAACTTTTGAAGATCGGGATTTCCCCCATTGAAGCTTTTATTTTAGGCCCTGATGCTGCCAAATCGTTGATTTTTCAACGGTTGGACGACATTGATAGGCAATTAAATCTGGCAAACGGATCGGGAACATGCTCACTGTTTTCCGCTGGGTGAGATCATCTGTGGTTTTGGGGTGAAGTGTCATCTGTACGCTGATGATACTCAGCTGTACATCTCCACCCCAGACCACCCCAACGATGCCCTTGATGTGATGTCCCGCTGCCTGGAGGCCGTGCGGGCCTGGATGGGGTGGAACAGGCTCAGACTCAACCCCTCCAAGACCGAGTGGCTGTGGCTTCCGGCACCCCAATATAGTCAGCAGGTGCCATCGCTGACTATTGGGGGTGAATCTTTGCCCCCTACAGATTGCTCGCAATCTGGGTGTCCTCCTGGATGCACGGCTGTCTTTAGAAGAGCATATGATGGCCGTGGCCAGGGGGGCCTTTTATCAGGTTCGCCTGATTTGCCAGTTGCAGCCCTTTCTGGATCGGGACGCCTTGCGCACGGTCACTCACGCCCTTGTCACCTCCCGGCTGGACTATTGTAATGCTCTCTACATGGGGCTCCCCTTGAAGAGCACTCGGACGCTCCAACTGGTCCAGAATGCGGCTGCGCTGGTGGTTATGGGTGCAACTCGTTGCGCCCACGTGACACCCCTCCTGCGCGAGCTGCACTGGCTCCCAGTGGTCTTCCGGGTGCGATTCAAGGTGTTGGTCACCACCTTTAAAGCGCTCCATGGCATAGGACCCGGGTACCTTCGAGACCGACTTCTGCCACCAATAGCCTCCCACTGACCAGTCCGCTCCCACAGAGAGGGTCTCCTCAGGGTGCCATCAGCCAAGTTATGTCGGCTGGCGACACCCAGGGGGAGGGCCTTCTCTGTGGGAGCCCCAGCCCTGTGGAATGAACTGCCCCCGGAAATACGTAAGATCTCCGACCTCCGGGTGTTTCGCTGTGCACTAAAGACCCTGTTGTTCCGCCAGGCCGGGCTATTAACATAACGATTTTAAATTGGGGTATTTTAAATTTCTGGGATTTTAATTGGAGCCTAATTATTTAATGATTTTAAATTTTAATTGTTGTTTTGTTTTGTGTTTTTAATAGGCTGTACACCGCCCTGAGTCCTTCGGGAGAAGGGCAGTATAGAAATAAAATTATTATTATTATTATTATTATTATTATTATTATTATTATTATTATTTCCCTTGGTATTGTTCCCTCGCCTCACCTTCCGCCTTATCTCTCCATGTTACACTCTATCAAACATAGGCTGGCATTTATGAAGGCACAATTTTATGTAATCCCCTCGAATGTCCTCGACAGTAAGCTCTCAGGGGAAGTAAAATCCATCTATTGTACATGTGATGGCTGATCCCCGGAATCTCTGTTCCACATTACATTTGTATGTCCCCACTACCGAGACATGAGATCAAGATTCATTTCTCCTATTTCCCAGAGATTCCCTGGTTCACCTGACCTTTATAAAGTAGCCTTTATTTCCTACTCCAGGACACAGACCCCAATATAACTTCAAAGGTGGCAAAAAATTTTGCTGCACTCATGGCTGGAAAAAAAACGGGGGAAGAGACGGGTAACCCCTATGGCAGAGGATCACTAGTACTGACAGTACAGATTGTATCTGAGGCAGTAGATGGTGTACTGTCATATGATCTATCTATATTTGTAAAATATACTCCCCTTCTATGTGTATTTTAATTTGGTCTCTGACCGCAATAAAAAGCTTACTTACTTACTTACATTAATATGGATTTTATTTCATCTAAGAAATTAAGTTTTACCTTAATCAACCAGAATTGGTTGAATCTGCATAATTTTTAAGGAAAACTGCTTGGCTAGAGATTTAATTTTAGGGGGAAATAGACAATCAGCCTGAAACCTCTGTAACTTCTCATCTAAGGAATTCTGTTTTAGAATATAACACTTATTTGTTTAATGTTCACAATAAACTTCAATAAACAATAAACAAATGTTCTTCTGTGATGAGAGAAATACTGTATCTGTGAGGAAGAGCCATGTCTTTTTTTGCTTGGATTTCTAGAACTTTCTTTCAATATCCACATTCATAGCTGTATCAACATTAAGGCCCGGGGGGGGGGAAGCTTATGTAATATCTGGGGGTGAGTGGGGGTGAGAGGAATCATTGAGTTCCTTGGTTGTTCTTGAGACCCTCTAAACATCTTCTCTCAAGTTTTAGCATTCATTAATGGGAACACAAATGTCAACATTTTCTGTTTAAGAAGTAGAAGGATAACTTGCTTATGTTCTAGCTCTTTATAGAACATTTAGTTTTGATTTAAAAATAAAGAAATGGAAAATATGCCTTGAAATATTGATATATACTACTTCTATATTGGACTATGAAAATGAAAAGATTCACTGAAATCTTCAGTGAAGGGCAGATCATTTTGTATGTCCTCCACTTCAATTCTAAGGGTTGTTCATTTGTCCATAAAATAGATCTCAACATCCCATAAATATTTATCTATCCAATGGAGGATTCCATTCATGTCTTATTTTCAACACTTACATACCCCATTTGGATTGCTATTGTTTATTTTTAGCAATTTTTTTTTGTTTAGAAATATCAGAAAAGTACAATAAAAGTGGACTTCCTTTTTTTTGAAAGCCATGCTGACCCATACATAAAACTAAATTAGTGACCTTAGGGAGAAGAAATTGTAAATTGATTCCTTATTCCACATCAGGCAGAGGTGTATCTCATTAATACAGCTTCTTCTAAGATGATTTCTTCCAATAATAAAATAGTGGAAATATTGGTAAATAGCTAGGATTGTGTTATAAAAGCTGTTACAACAAATGTGGTTTTGATCTATATAGCATTGGTTTCATAGTTTAGTTGACCTTATGAGGCTAACATACAGAAAAAGCCAATCAAAATCAAATTTCTGAAGAAATATAGACAGGATAGGAAGGGAAATCTGGACAAAATAGTAGTGGATTAATTTAATAAGATCTCAAAAGGAGGGAGATATTAGATATTTAAATAATAAAAGGCCAATGGGAAATTATAGTAACTAGTTTTGGTATAAACTTATAGTACTTTAGTTATGAGATTCCATTTTTAATGTCCTGTTTCCAGATTCTTTTGCTTACATTTAATTTAACTTTCTAAGCATCTGTTTAACCCCAAAATAATTGGGTAATGAGTAGGTATATACTGTATTACATATGTAACTTTACTTTATTTTAAAAACAAGTTTTCTTCTTTGTTTTTTTCCATATTAAAAATGACTATCTTAGCTAATCATGAGTACTAAAGCATGAATCATATTAGAAGAGATTTTGTGTGTGTCTCTGTGTCTATGTCTGCATCTATGTTTTTATGAATGTTATTTAGAGATGTGGATGACTTTTTACCAAATATATTATGTTCTATTTTTAAAAATATGGATTGGAACTATTCATTAAAAAGGATTTTCTCCATATATAACTAAATTATCCAAAGTTATGGCAAAGTATTTCCACATTCTGGCCAATAAAACTACTGTGAAATTATCAGAGTATGTTTGTTTGTTTGTTTGTTTTTAGAAAAGCCAAAGGGTTAAGCATGGTCAAACTTTATTTTTTAAAAATATGTATATTCTGATATTTATGAGGAGGTACATACATTTTTTGATGCTGCCAATTACAGTTACTGAAACATCTATTTTTGGTTGGTTTTATATATGAAAACTAAATATACTTATTAAAAATATATTATGTCTCTGCCATGTAAAATATTTCTGATATTAAAGATATTAGCAGAATAAATATTATGAAACAATGAGCAGAAACTACTACTTGATTTTTGATGTGTTGGTTATTGAATCCTCTCAATATACCCAGCATTTCATTCTCTTCATTCTCATATTCCCTTTTTCATACTATCTTTTGTACACACACAAAAATATGCAAATACACACAGATCCATACATGGAAACAAATAATCTTATATGGCTGATGCCATATCTTTTTAGCATTAATTGATAAGTCAAACTCTCCTTTTAAAGCTTTTATTCATTCTCATTTTGAAGATAGTGACACTTTCATAAGAAATAATTGTTTATCCAAGAATCAAATTGGTTGTCCTAGGCATTAGAAAGCTGACACAAAAGCAGCAGCCAAGGATGCTTGGGTTGGATTCTTTATCTTCAGCATTCTTCCACTATGGAAGCTACAAATAAAAAGAAAAGGAAAAAGAAAAAGAAAAGAAAAGAATAGGATGAGTCTGTTATTTCTAGTGCCAAAGATATACAAATAGAATATTTAAACTCAATTATCAAGAATTAATGGGAGAAAATGAATTTTGAGAAAGACATTTTTTTTTAAAATTTGATTTATATGCCGCCCTTCTCCCGAGACTCAGGGCAGCTTACAATGCATTAAGCAATAGCCTTCATACTTTTGTATATTTATACAAAGTCAGCTTATTGCCCTCACAAACTGGGTCCTCATTTAACCTACCTTAGAAAGGATGGAAGGCTCAGTCAACCTTGAGCCTGGTAAGATTCGAACCTGCAGTAATTGCAGGCAGCTGTGTTAATAACAGGGTGCTTTAAACCACTGTACTACCAAGGCTCTATATTATGGAAGAAATATGTTTTAAAGTAAAGAATTTTGAGAATAAAGAAATTAAATTAATTCACCTTGGATTTTTCAAAATAAGAAAGGAATTGTTTGAAGAGACTGAGGAATCATATTATGTTAATCTAAAGAAATGTCATAACTGGATCGAGGTTTATTCACACATTTGTATCATTGGTGTGCAGGGATGGCTTCCTATCCCATTCAAGCATCATCAGCATAAAATCACTAAAACATTGAGATATAAACTCGTTGTTTATATCTCTATATTAACTCACCTAAGATAGTTTACTCAGTTAGATGTCCACTTTGGATCTGTTCAACCAGTTTTTGACCCTGAAAAAAACAGGTATATGTAAAGTGAGACTTTGCTGAACAAAGAAAATTACACAAATCTTCACCCAGTTGAATTGATTGTGTTCTTCCTACAGTCATTATTACGAAGAGAAGGCTGCTTCTGCACCCAAAATCTTCCATGCTTGTATTCATAGGAATATTCTACTTAGATTTGTCAGTTTGTCATTCCACAGGAAGACACAGATATGTGTATACACACACACACACACACACACACACACAAACACACACTTCCTCCTCCTGTTCTTCCAGTAGCAACAACCCTGTGTGTGTTGGGCTGAGACAGGACAAGGGTCCAAAGTCACTCAGTCACCTTTCATGCCTAAGGCAGGATTAGAACTCACAATTTCCTGGTTTCTATCTTGGTGGCTTAACCACTAGACCAAATTGGTTTTATACAAGATATTACCAAAACAGATATAGGAAAAGGATAAAATTAGTATGATGTGGACTTTTGGTCTGCAACATTTTGTCGTATGCCCATACAAATCCTTTTATTTGAAGCTGCTGGAAAGTTTTTATAACTGAACTCAAGATATCTGTGTGCCTAGCATAATACACCAGTGACAACACTTTTGTTTCTTTTTGTGCTGCAAATTTGCAGAATTATTTTCTAAGGGAGAAATTACATTTTACTATCAAATTTTAGATGTCTGTGGTATATATTTATAATAGCTGCATTCCATTCAAATGCATACAATTTGTGAACAAGTTAAATTTGCTTTCACAGTGAGATGTGTATCTACTTAGATATGTAAGTTAGTAAGTATAACCTTACTAATTGCAACTGTGATTTATAGTTAAAATATGAAATATGAAAATATGAAAACTGTACAAATTAAAAAAAATAAAACTACATAAAAATCATCACTAAAATGGATGGTATAGAGAGGGGTCTTCCTATCCCATAAATCACAGTGATATATGCTACACTTTCTCACAATATGAATGACACAGAATGCTTAATAATAAGTGGTTGATTGAATTCTAGGAGACTGTATGTAAAATATCAGACCAAACATTCTTCTGCATATTAAAAAAGCAGGAAATTAGGGCTGGAATCCTTATATCTGATCTCATCTCTTTTACATATGCCTATGCCAACTGTAAACTGTAAGAGTAATATCTTATTGCATCAAACTGGTGCTTATTTGATGAAGGGAAATTTAAATTTGGAAGCAGCAATAAGCCACAACACTTTATTAAACTTTCGCTATCCATTCTCCTATTTAAAGTATACCTTTGTGCCAAAGCATTCGTTTTGGTTGTCAACTGCACAGCAATCTGTCTGGAGCTCACGGAAAGAGAGGATTCTAACAGCAAGCTCTCCATCTTGGATATTAGGTTTGGATTTTATCAAGTCGCTAAGCAAACTGCAAGACAAACAATAACTATTAAATCCTCTATTGAAGCTAAGAGCTTCTATAATTTTACTCTTTTTTAGATTCCAAAATTGAGAAATCAGTTCATGCATATATACACATTTTTTAAATATGTACTTTCTTAGTGTAAATTCCCAGTGATGAAACTAGAAATTTTAGAGGATGAAAATAAATGCTACAAGATCAATCATCAAATACATTTTGAGAAGGCAGATGTCCTAAGAAATGGAATTGATATGGAAGGTATCTAAATAAAATCATGCCTATCATACAATAAGATGTACTAGGAACTGTAGATGTATGAAGTATCATGTCATGTTTGCTGTAAAATCTGTAACAATATATTAGATTAAAAGGACTTTGTTTTCTTACCCTTGCTTGCTTTCCTGCACAGTCTCTTCTTTAGGTGAGCACAAATTCTCAGGGGCATCCAGTGCTTTAGGTTTGAATGGAGGAGGGACATAGGATGGATCTGGTCCTAAGTTACTGATACATTCCCAACGGCTGATAAAGGAGGAATCACAGCAATCGCCAAATTGTTTGTTTGTGAAATGTTCTTTATGATATTTACATACAGATCCTATCACTTTATCTGTCTGAGAGGAGAGAGATAGAGGGGAAAAAATTCAATTAACTTCTTCAGTTACATGATATGACTACTATATGCTATGCACATAATATTTCAAGGTTTAGCCTTTAGTCGATGCTAACAGGGTTGCATGAAAGGTAGGTCAAAAGCAAGTCTGGATAAATTAATAGCTTTTTTTCTCAGAATGTCTAACTGCCTGTCTCTCTATCTGTCTCCATGTATCCCAACATAGTCACAAGAATCAAATTACTACTACTGAGTTGGCTTAGTAAACTGCTTTACAGAAAGATTTTATCTGTTGGGTTATTTTTTTTCTTCTGCTAAGAAGATTTTTAAAATCTTCTTAGCAGAAGATTTTAATGTTTCCAATTTATAAACTTACAGTATAACTTTTATGAAATATTAAAAAGATGAAATCAGAATTTTGACAATGAAAACTACCATATTTTTTGGAATATAAGTCGCACCAGAGTATAAGACGCACCTTAGTTTTTGGGGAGAAAAATAAGCAAAAAACTGATTGGTGGGTAGATCGGCCTCCCAGAATTTTAGCAACAGGTTCATTGGTTGTGAGCTCTGTGCCTTGCTTTTTTTTCTGCCTTTGAAACTTCTGAAACTCTGTTTCAGAAAAAAACTTTTTTTCCTGCCTCTGAAAGCCTCTGAAACAGAGCTTCAGAAAAAAACCCTCTGAAGCTCTGTTTGGTGGCTTTGTTTCTGATACTTTTTTCAGTCTCTTAAACTTTGAGAAGCTCGGCAGGACTACATTCGGAGCATAAAACACACTCAGATTTTCACTTTTTTGGGGGTAATAGGTGCGGTTATACTCTGAAAAATATGGTAATATTTCTCTACTGAGAATAAACACTTTCAAATAATGACATAAAAATATTTTTATTACATATGGATTAGATTACTGTCATACACATCTAAGAAGATATGTAACTAATCCTTTAGTAGTTTTTATTTGATTAAATGTTTTTTCCTACTCTTCAGTTCAGTTTTATAACATTATAGCTTTTAATAGAAATTTGTTGCTTGCTGAGATGTTTGTGGAAAACTCTGTGCCCAAGTTCACTCAAAGATAGAGTGTGGAAGATATTGGCCCAGGAGAAGCACTTAGGTTTAGAAGCCCACATGGCCCTTCCTTCTACTGAGACCATCTACAAACATTTTATAGTGATGTGTCGCTTACGGAGGAAATGGAATAGAAGCAAAGGAGCAGAATATATGGATGAAACAGTACTCACATTTTCTAAAGCACATGAGACTTGGTGATCACCATCTAAATTACAGCATTTCTGAGCAATCTTTGCCACTTTTCCACTGAACTCAATCAGATTAGAAGTTGGAGCCTGTGGTATAATTTTGCTATACTTGATCAAATATCTGGAAGAAAAGGCCAATTAGAAAAGTTGTATGCTGTTGAATAAGGCAAGTTTGTAAAAGCATTAAAGGATGCTAGGGGGAAAAAAAAAAGAATTGCTGAGGATTGATTTATAGGGTTTTAGTAAAATCCATACACTCTTCCCTTTTCTACAAAATCTAAAGATCCTGACTATACAAACACAACTCAGCCATTGTCTTCTCTTTGGGACATCAGAAAAGCACCTGAGTAAATATTAACTTTTATGTTGATTTGAATGGTTTATACATGTGGCCACAAGCTTTATGATGTTTTATTACACTCCTTTGGTGCATTTTAAAATCTCCTTATACTAGAAAACATTATTATTTTAGTATTTTAATATTATAAAAACTAGATTCATAGTTACAACTGAATTCTCTAATCTATTCATGGGTATCAAAACATTTAGAAATTAATTTCCTGAATAGTCATTTGAAAAAAAGACTGAAAATCACTACAGGTGCAGGAGAACGTCAAGACATTTGATAGAATATTTTTTTTCATCCCTCTGAATATAGACAATTTTGCATCAACAAATGGTTCTGCTTATCGAAAATTTACAAATTTATCATTCAAAGAAAAACTTACTCATTTTGAAAGAAGTACGCTCCTATTTCTTTATAATTATTACAATTATTCTTCACAACTTCAGTAATCTTGGTAATATATAATTTAAGTTGTTCTTCCTGAAAAATAATACACTTTTTTTTAATATATATATAACAATGAGCACACGTAGGAAGAATCAATATAAATAATGCTGGAAGAAAGTTGGAGAAATATATAAATAATTCTTATTCTGGAGGAGAAAAGGAATATTAAAGATAGTTGAAAATGGGATTGGCAACTTTGGTTTTTCCCCATGTTATGGCAAATGTGAATGGCAAAGATCATGGCTTGTTAAAAACATTTTTGCTGTAATCATTAAATATGTAAATGTGAGTATAAAGGAAGGTACAAACAAACAGTATCTTCTAATCTGGCTAATGCCATATATTCCTTTTATATATAGAATTTTTCTTTCCACAGTGTTTTCTTTCCACATTTGTTTTCCTGCCACCTCTATTCAAAATTCAGAAATCTTTAGAAACATTCATTGGTAATTATAATTTTAGAATAAATCTGTACTCAGTGATTCATTTTTTAAAAATATCATACGGATATCTTTATGCTTCATTCCATTCTGAAGAAAGGTCCCAAGTCATTTATAGTAAATAAAAGTATTTAAAAAATCCCTTTGTATAGAGTGCTGCCATAGAAAATGCCATGTGACATGTTCCTATCATCTGAACCTATTTGGTAGATTAGACACATTATAAACTGACATGAAAATTTAACCAGGTCATTTTAAATAGATCTAAAATTTGGCCTGCAAATGAAACCAGTGCAGGCATTATACATAAGACCTGTGTGATATAGCAAGAAAAGCAAATACCAGAAAACTATTTGGCTATTATACTTTACAACAGTTATGATTTCCAAATATTTTTCAAGAGCTGCTCCACTCAGTATACATTGTAATAATCTAAAACCTGACTTCTGGTGTAATCAATGTTCCATCTTTCCAAGCAAAATAAAACATAGCAAAACAAAAGAAGCAAGCAAGCAAGCAAACAAACACACAAATAATTAAAAAACAACCTCATTGGCTGAGGCTGAAATTTTCCATTATAGACATGACATTTAATAAAGATCACATCTCAATTCATAATTTCTCTTTCAGCTTCTGAATAATTATTACTAGTGGCACAATGGGGCTGGGTTGGGTTGGGTGGGGTTGGGCAGGAAATGAACAGGAAGTGCCCTGGATAGAGGCAAAAGAACTCACCCCTGCATGCAAACACGGTACTTTGTCTTCTAATGTGCAGCATTTTTCCAACAATACTTTATATTTATGCAAAATTTCCAGATCAATCAATTTAGAAAGTTCAGGGTGGTTTCTTGTTAATGTAAAGAGGAAGCTAAAACAGGTGGAAAATGGAATCAGAAAACATTGCTAGCTACACAAAGGAGAATTTGTTTCTTCTGGTATCAGTTGTAATTACCCAAACACATATTTTTTTTTCAATATTAATTGTGACTCCATGCTTCTCCCTTTCAGGTTTAGTTTGCTAGATTGTTTTGCTATTTAACTACTAATTCAGCTTCTTTTCTTTTTGCCTCTTATTTCTGTCTTACATTAGAGAGATTCATTAACTTTTTAATTCCAATGTGTTATGTCTAGATCATCCTACTTTTGTGCCCTCCATCTGCCTGAACATTTTACTACTTGAAGCAAAGAATAATAAAATTTTCTCCATTCAATCTAAAAAACTCAACCAGACTGGCAACTGAATCTTATTTCAGTGCAGGCAATGCAATTAAATCCTTCCAGACAAGGTAGTTAGGAGCTGAGATAAAGTTATGAGATACAAATAATTTTCTTTTTTGAGAAGAAACTCCTCAACCCCATGACTCAATACTGGACCGTGGCCTGTTTGAATCTGAGCTGCAAAAGCAGCAGACAAATGTGGGCACAGCCCCACTTGCATGAGCAGTGTGTGCATACATGAAGATCCATTTGTGCGAATGGTGGAACCATCCCCTCTTCTGCTCACCCTACCAGTCCTCAAAGTCGGAAAGGTTGGGGACCGCTGCTTTAAGGTTTTGAAGTAATACTTAGGGGGAAACTGCCAGTAGTCTTCTCCAATACCCATTAACTTATTACATCTCAACTTGGAATCAGATCTGTTGCATACATTCAGAGCAGAAGACTGTATAATCTTGAATTATTTTGTTCAATCTAGCCCTGCCTGTTTAGTGTGAAATAGTGTGAAAATATCTAAGCCATACCTTTCCTTGTGTGCATCTCCTTGTTCAGCATAAGCTTTACATGCTTCTGTCTCCTGTAAGATTTCTCCAGATGGTGGGGGCAGATCCGGAGATCTTGCATCATTTTCCAAGGTAGAAATGCAGTTTGGCCTTTCCACCAGAGGTTTTTCACAGCAAGGACCAATGTTAGAAGATATAGCATCTTTGTGCTCACAGACATAGTTTGACAGGTCTGCCTGTAAGAAGAAAGAAAAATTGATCCTTTGAAAAAGGCAAGTTATAGTTGGAGGAACTATAGACTATCACAAAATCCTTTCAAAGCTTCTTTCCAAATAAAATTAATAATGGCGAACAAATAAATCTTTAAAAGTTTTTGCTGAAGTCACTAAATCTGTGGAACCACACAATACATTAGATACAATCTATTTCAAATATCTAGAGAATGTGACATAATTCTTAAAACAACCTTTTTCTACACAATGTGCAATGTTTATTTATTTTTATTTGCAAGTGTTTAATCTTTTAGAGAATAACTAGCCTTTCTCTTCTTTCATTCTAGGAAACTAAAGAAAAGAGAAAGGTATTGTGCTGATGTTACTAGAAAAAATGACTAGGTAAAAACATCTAGAGAGATGCAAAAAGGATTTGAGTTCATTCCTGAAACATTTACATACAAAGGGTCATCTAATTTACCAGATCTTTTCTGTGTTTTTAAGAAGTTAGTGTTAATATGTTTCATATTTGTTTATTTGTGTCTTTGGTAATTACATAGCTGTCCATTATCTATGGTTGGTCAAAGTTTTCTTTTAAAGCAAATAGAACCTCACAAAACTAAATAAATTCTGCTCATTTTATGTCATCACTCAACCCTCTACAGTTGTATAAAGTGGCCTCACACCTATCTCCTACTTCTCTTCCTGTTCCTTCTTTTTATTGATTGATTGATTGATTGGCTGTCTGATAAAGAGTTATATTGTGAAGGTTTGGGATTGAGAACAGTTGACTTGCCCAAGATCAGCTAGCCAACTTCAGTGCCTAAAGAGGACCAGAACCTGGATCTGCATGTTATATATTATCTATTTACATTATTAATCTTCAGTTGTGTTTGTATATATGTGTGTTGAACTCCATTATCACGAATTTAGGAAATTTAATTTGAAAAATCACCCGAGTTATCAAAAGATGGTACTAGAAAAAAAGACCAAATTTAAAAAAAATCCTTGGGGTTGAGACAGATCATTTGAGAAGCTACTTCTTGACTTTCTACAGTACATTGAGTAAAAGTTCATTGAGCAAATGTCTTATCCACTCAAAAGCATGGTTAAGTGCTTTGAAAGCCTAGTAAAAAAGAAAACATCTTAAGAAAGTCAATCAGGTAAACAAAAACAGCATCTTTCTAGGATTTTTCATATCTATATATCTTAGGTTTGAAGCAGTAGACATGAGTATATCTTACTCGGTCAAGTAAAGCTTCCAGGGAATCCCCCTTACAGATTTCTTCATAGATGTGCACAACATGTTTAGCAATATGGGATATCGTTTCCTGATTAGCATTTATGAACTTCTCATGTGTCTCAATAAATTTCCTAGAAAGAAAAGCAAAGAAAAACATTAGGATTATTTCAAAGCAGTTTCTAAATAATTTCTACCATGTATTTCCACAAACAATTGCAATATCATATAATCATGTAATCTTCCATTTTAAAATCTGATCATCTCCATAATTGCACAAGGTACTATTTTTAATTTATTTTGCAATCATATTTGGGCCTTTCAATTTCTTTTCTTGCACAATCACACTGGTATAGATAGATACAACAATTTTTCTTTCAATGAAAAATTATTGCTTCAGCAGTAGCTCCCTAAGCATCAAGGAATTTAGTTTCCAGAGCAGGAATTTTGTTGGAATTCTTCCCAAGGGAACTTTTCCAAAATAAGAAAAAGAGTATTGTCTTGAATGGTGAGCAGAATCTTGTAACTATAAATAATAGAATCCTCCCCTCTGCCAATAGAAAAGTAAGCTAAAAAGAGCTCTAAGAAAAATGTGAAATAAATTCTCAAAGATCATGAACATATTTTTTTAAACAAAAACTAAAATTTATGGAGCATATTTTGGCATAGCATCAGTTTTTAACAGCAATAGGAATCTTTCTTGAAATTTACAGTCCCAAGAATATTTCACATATTCACAAATCAGTCACTTTCAAGATGACTAATCTTCTTGGTAGAATAATTTAAAAAACACAAGAGCTAGAGGTTGCCAATAGTGTGTCACAGCCAGTAGTAGTACCATTTGTCCTTTGCTGATGTCAAAAAAACTATATAGTTCAAGCTGTTTAGTATTTGTTTGGGAGATGACCATGAGGTACAAAGATTGTAAGCAGTAGTTTTCACCTAGTCCAGTTGGCTATTGAAAAATACTGAAAAATTGAAGAATATCCATCATTAGATCAGATGTATTTTTTTAAAAAAATTGATTTATATGCCGCCCTTCTCCGGAGACTCAGGGCGGCTTACAATGCATTAAGCAATAGCCTTCATACTTTTGTATATTTATACAAAGTCAGCTTATTGCCCCCACAAACTGGGTCCTCATTTCACCTACCTTAGAAAGGATGGAAGGCTGAGTCAACCTTGAGCCTTGGAGAGATTCGAACCAGCAGTAAATTGCAAGCAGCTGTGTTAATAACAGGGTGCTCAGACCACTGTACTATCAAGGCTCTTGTATTTAAAATGGATTGACTCAAAAATTAACAGAATAATAATTAAATCTTTTAAAGTTCTAAAAGTAAGCTGCATCCAGATCTAGTATCCACTCTAAACTATTTAGGAAAACAACCTTTTTCCTAAATGATTACTTCCATCAATAGCCTTCTGCAGTAGAAAATTATGTATGGATTCCTTAAGATTATGTTTGTGTTTGTGTCTGTATACAGTTTGTGTGTGTGTGTGTGGTGTGTGTATGTGTAAATTTTCCTGAAAGTGTCTTTCCTTCCTCCCTCCCTCCCTCATTATTAATTTAGGTTCCTTATTTGGGATCTTTTGTTTATTTCAAAAAGTAAAGAAATATAACGGTATGTGAAAATGATTTTGGGAGACAGCAGCCTAGACAACCATCTCAGCCCACAGAAAGAAAAGGGGTGTGTGAAACATCTCAGAAGGAGTCATCTGCAGTTTCCTTGAAAGTAAAAATAAAGGAGTGGATAGTCATGTCAGACTTTTAAGATTCTGTTATTCAAAAATAGAATTTGTAAATTGCAAGTTTGTGCTTCTTTCTGCACTACCTAAAAGGTTATATAGCAAAGTAATATCCTATTAAACATATATAAGTCTTTCTCAAATGGTCAAAACACCAGCATTGCCCCCAGACCATATTATTCATACTATTTTGACATAGCTTGAGAATGAAAATGATCACTGAAACTTTCTCTTATCTGTTAAATGACTTCATTGTTTCTATCCTATTTTACTTTTAAGATATTCCATATTGTCTGCTTATTTTCAGTTTTCAGTACCACAGTCTCCTCTGAATATCTTGGTTGCCAGCTCTTCCAGGTAAACCAGACAGGGAACATGACTAGATAAACTAATTCTCCTTTATTATAAGGCTGCATACAGAAGTGTGAAGGTACAAACTTTTTGCCACTGCTTTTAACCATCTGATCAATTAGGGTGAGTCATTCCTAAACTTCTTCCTGTGACTGTTAAGCTGTTCGGAATTCCTACTTCTCTCATCTGATTATTTCCTAGGCAGCAGTTCTTTCCCTTGTCCCACAAGGTCATCCACACACTCTATTACATTGTTTAATTTGTTTCGTATAGAGATCATAATTTAGTCATATTTGATGCACATTCCTAGGAGTTCATTTCCTACAACATCCCAAATAAACCAGACTTACAATGCATGAAAATCATCTTTTCCATAATGCTTCAGATTAAAACAATTATATTCCTGTTCCTCAATTATTTCCCTGAATGTCTTTTTGGCTTCTGTTGCCTGTTATAAACCAAAAAAAGAAAAGAAGAAGAAAACATTTTTACTCAGTCTAAGAAGAAAGAGATAAGAAAAGAGTGATAACAAATAGAAATATAATGATTATGGCAAAAGAATATAAATGTAACAACTACAGCAACATTTGAACACCATCAACTTTGACAAAATCACCCCCAGCCAATTGCAAAAGACAGCCTTACTCAGAACAGATAACATCTTGCAAGGATACCCCTAACACTATAAAACTTTCACATCTATGTACCCCAGATCCTTGAGGAAAAACTCAACAGGTGGCTAAAAATGCCAAATCCAATCTGAACCTCTGGCTGGCTGTGCAACAAATCAAAACTTCAAATTACTAATTGGTGTGATAGCTGATGCAGTCCAACAGCATCTAGTGTAAAAAAAAATGCTCTTTACCAATAAATTTACCAATGAATAAGAATATTGAAATGAGGGGTCATTGGAGCTCTGAGCTTGGTTGTTTTCTTGCAGACATTTCATTATCCAAACTAGGTAACATTGCTAGCACTGATTATATTACCTAGTTTGGGTAATGAAAGAACAACTGCAAGAAAACAGCCAAGCTTAGGACCATCAATAACTCCTCAAGGTCTTTGCATCTGAGCAGAAAGGAAACTGGCCAAACAATAGAGGAGCAAAAGAGCAACTCCTAATTGACAAGATGATTCTGGAAAACTGCAAGAGAAAGAAGACCAACTTGAATGTAGCATGGATCCCTGCCACTAATTTGATAATCAAGTGCCTAGCAATAATGATTAGGATAAGTTAATATCAAGGGAGGAATCACACTTTCACTACTATTTTTGTAATTGCACTGATTTCTCTGTCAACAATACTGAATAACTCAGGTGATGGTTATCAAACATCCAAAACATCTGCAAGGTTATCCCACCTCCTTTTCATGGATGATTTGTAGTTGTATGTAAAAACGTCATCTGAAATAGAATTGCTCCTGAACACTGTCTGTATATACAGCCAATATATTACAGTGGAGTTTGGACTGGACCAAACTCTCACCATCAGATGTGATAAAATAATGAAAACTGAAATGAAGATGCCCTATAGAAATAACATCAAGGGTCCATGATCAAATGAATGGATGAAGATGATCATTACAAACACCTGGCATTCTTCAAGCTGACAACATCAAGCATATTGAACCCAAGAAAAAGGTTAGAAGTGGATACATCAAGAGAGCAAAGAAGTTCTTAAAGTGCAAATTCAGTGGAGGAAATAAAAGTAGTCCTTGACTTACAACTGTTCATTAAGTGATATGCTGTTGAAGTTACAACAGCACATAAAAAATTGACACATGACTATTTTTCATACTTATGACCATTGCAACACGTGATCAAAATTCAGCTGCTTGGCAACTGACTCATATTTGTAATGGTTGTAGTGTCCCGGGATCATGTGATCACAGTTCACAACCTTCTGACAAGCAAAATCAATGAAAAAGTCAGATTCACTTAACAACAGTATTACTAACTTAATAACTGCAGTGATTCACTTAACAACTGTGTCAAGAAAGTTCATAAAATGGGAGAAAGCTTACTTAACTGTTTCAGCTAGCAACAGAAATTTTGGGCTCAGTTGTGGTCATAAGTTAAAGTCCATGACTACACAGCTGAAATAATGGTCTGGACTCAAGCAGGACAAGAAGTCCTGGATAGAAAGACTAGAAAAATAATGACATTGAATCATGCTTTTCATTCTTGCTGTGATGTTGACCAATTCTACTTACCAAAAAATATAGGTGATATAGGTTGTAAGTATATCAGATGGTTGAACAATAAAGTATATCAGATGGTTGAACAATAAAATAGATAATTAAAAGACTATCTGAAGGCAGTGAATAAGAAACACTGAAGTTACTATACCAGGAAGGGTTACTGAATACTGGAAAGACTGAACTGGCTCATGGGGGGAAAAAACCAAATGAAGAATAGAAATGAGACATAGCAAAACAAAATATTACATATTCAGTACATTACAAGAATAATAGGCAAAGCATATACTTTAGAGTATATGTAGCTAGGTGCAGAAAAATTGAAGAGATGGAGGAATTCATTGTGGCTGCATAAAACCAAGAATTTAGGACAAACACATGTATTTGTACACAAGTCAGAATTGAAAAGACAGATAATAAATGCCATCTCTACAAAGAAGTTGAAGAAAAAGTGGACCACCTAATTAGCTGTTGCAATAAGATTACACAGACTGATTACAAGCAATGGTGTGACAAAGTAGAACAATGCTGCACTGGAAGATCTGCAAGAAATATCATTTGCCTCAAGCAAGAACTGGCGGGGCTATAAAATAGATGAAATAATGGAACATGGAGAAACTAAATTGGTCTGGGAATTTAAAATTAGATAGGCACCTGTTTTAACAATCAGATCAGTTTTAACAATCATTGATAAGAAAGACAAATATGTCACAATAGTGCAGATGGCAGTACCTGGAGGCAACAGGATAAAAAAAAAAGAAAGAAAGAACTGGAGAAAATCATGAAAAAAAGACTTGCAAATAAAAGTGGAATGACTGTGGGGAAAATGTAGATTATAGTGTCAATACTAATAGATGCTACAACTTATTTCTACAAAATTTCAAGATGCAAAGTGAAATACCTTTTCATGGAAACAGGTATCTTTATCAGTTTCTGAACAGCAAGTTTCCATGATTTTCTCATAGTTTTTAGTTGCTTCGAGGACTACAACAACTAGTGCTTTAGGATATCTTCTGGCGACTTCAAAAATATATCTATGAAAAACAAAACATGTGTGTATGTGTATGTGTGTGTATTTGAGATAGAGGGAGAGAGGGAGGGGAGGAGAGAGAGAGGGTGGGAGGGTGGAAGGGGAGAGAGAGAGAGATTTTTTTTTATTCTCAAAGAACTCTTTCATTTCTTACTTTGAAATTATTTTCAAAGGAAAGGGAAATGTTTAGGGAGAATTACAGGAAAGGACAAAAACATTAAATCCCCAGAAAAGTGACCAAAAATATACACAGCCTGCTTAAAATCCATTGGTTTTAATACAATGCAATTTATTTTAATAAAATAGATCTAACCCATCATTTTGTCTAGTAATAAATTTGAGTGTAGAATAATGTAGATCAACGATTTTTTAAAAAAAATATTCTCAAATTTTCCTCTTCATAAATTTATTACTCAAATTTTACCAGCATGTATTTTAGATGTATTTTTCACTGGATTTTGATCAGAGAAAATTGATCAAACACTACCATACACTTATGCAACTCATATCTAAAATCTGTATCAGTTGCCTTTTAAAATCTTATAAAAGAGTATTTATGTTACATATAAAAATAAGGCAGATGAGAATTTTTTTAAAGTTAGCCAAACCACAGTTCTCTAATAGCCTGATTAGGATGAATATCAGAGTTGATATCCAATAGTGGTGATGGGTAGAATAGTAGTCTTATGCAACAACAAGATCTGGAATAATAAGGTTGTCAGCTTTGGACCATATGACTAAGGTTATGTCTGAGACCACTGAGGAATTATGCTTGTATTGCAGCAAAAAATGCTGTTATTATTGAGAAGTTGCATGGTTGAAGCTCCTCGTTTTAGCTTATATGCATGTCTGCATATATGTTCTTGTTTTCACTTTAACGTTGTGTTTCACAACTGAATCATAACATTAACATAGGCATGACTATCTAACATCATTCCTTACTTAGCATGATTTACATTTCCAAAATTATCTAACTGTCCTACACTGCATCAACAGATGTGTGCTATTGGAATGTTATAGAATGAGACTGGAAGAAGTGAAGGATAGTTGAATGAAATCATAAGCAGGAATACCCTGTTAAAAACAGTCAATGTAGATCATGTATTGTTTGCATTTGATAAATGAAATTAAGAAGCAGTATGTGCAATTTTATATTAGTATCATTCATTGCAATTGACTTACTGGGTGATAACAGCATTTTCGTCATTTTGATATGCTTGGCAAGTTTGTTCTGCACTTGGATGAACAAAGGAAGAAACACTTCCTATAGATGCAGATTTATGGGACAAAACACATTCATTTCTTTCTGGATCATTCTTAGCACAACAGTCATGAATTCCATATTTATTGGAAAACTCTTCATCATGGCAGAGTATATTCAGGAAAACTGTACCCTAGGGAATAAAAAAATATGGCTGTTAAATAAGCAATTCTTAGTATGTATGTATGTATGTATGTATGTATGTGTGTGTGTGTGTGTGTGTATATATGTATATGTATATGTATATGTATATATATAAAATATAATACTATCCATGCCAAGGATTTGGAGAAAAATGAGACATTAGATCCATATTCTATTAATCTTTCCATAACTCAATGACATTAGGATCCAGATCCATATACAGTATAGGAGATCAGTTATTTTCTACTTGTATACTCCCCCTCCCCCGGCAAAACAAACAAGCAAACCTGCATCAAGAGAAATGAAAAATGAAAAAAAAAATGCTAAGTTTCTGCCCAACTTTCATTGTTCCACAGAGCTAATCAGATAATATATTTCAATGTGTGAAAACTGTGTGTGTGTGTGTGTATGTATGTGTGTGTGTGTGTACACAAATTTCCAGAAATAAGGACTAACACTCTGAATTGCCAGCAGTGATCACACTAGCTGGGGCATTCTAAAAGCTGAAATCTTTGGATCTCAAGGTTTCCAAGTTGGGAAACACTTTGTTGAAGGCTACAACTTACTTATTCAGAAGTAAGATACTCTGAGTCTTTGTTGAATAAATGTGCATAAGCTTTCTAGTAAAAGGGGTCATCTTAATGGATTTCAGAAATGATAATTTGGTTCAAAAATTGTGCTAGGTTTGATTTTTAGATTAGTGTATGATCCTGCCAGCTGTAACTTGTCTAATAACCCAAGTTAATAAAATGTAGCTTAGAACATTGTTAAGCTATTTGGGAAGGTATCATTAGCATGGCAAGCCAGATATTGCAGTCTGGTTGGAAGCTTGAATGACAAATGCTAAGTATTTTGATTTGGAGGGAAAATGGTTTCTTAGGAATGGAACTAATACACTTATTTTACCCTTAGACATATGCCAAATAGCTCTAGCTGATCAGAACTGAAAATACTGATGATGGGCTCCACTTCAAGCCCAAAAGTTTGGAAGAATAAACTTTTGAGTCTGATGACTAATTTAGGATTTTGTAAGTACTTAGTTAATCTATATATCTACATGTACTCCAATTTAGCTTCCAAACACTTACCAAATGCTTTTTACATTCTGGATCTGAATATTCATTAGCAACACATTTCAGGTGAAGTGCTGTAACATGGGTTGACAATTCTTTCACCTCATCAAGTGTGGCATTTGGTACACTTTGAATGAATAAAATTAAGGTACTAGGAAAAAAAGCACAAGTGATTAAGAAAACTGTTTGTGAATAGCAACATATTCTACAGTGAAGTCTTTGGTGCTCTCTGAACTTGGTTGTTTGGTTTCCTAATTAGATAACACCATCAGAGCACCAAGGACTCCATAATTCAGCCTGAGCTATGAATATTCTCTTTTACTGGGGACATATTCTACAAGCAAGTGGAAAATGTATAAAAGCTCTGGGAAGTGCCTGGATTCTAAGTTCATCTTGTTTTGACCTTGAGAATTTCATGCTCAGGATTCTCCAGCATTAGGAAAGAAATGACTAGAGCAAGAGAGACATTCTCCCTTTTGAAGACGAAAACAAGAATCTAATAAATCCTGTGATATAAGATTTATACTAGGTCTGCCTTCTCAGTCTGTTAAAATTAGACCTATCAACAAATGCTGAATCATGAAGATTTTTATTTCTTTTTATGGGAAGAAGAATAGCATTTTATTGTGTTTATACTATTTTTATACTATTTTATACTATTTCCAATCTCTGTGCATCTTTTATTATTTAGATATGTAATTTATAGCACTATTTTCTGGAATACTTACATGGCAAGAAAATAATCACCTGAGACTTCAGCGGCAAGAGAGATAGTCCCATGGTCGTGTTCTATAAAGAGGGTAGTGAACACATTTTACTCACTATTAAAAAAGTCACTATTACTAAATTATTGCAAATATTGCAAAGACCCTGTAATATTCAGAATATACTCTAATCATTTTGCAAATCTGGCCAACAATATAAATAAAATAATTACAAAGACTGTGGTTTAAATTTCATTTGCCTTATAATGAAACAAAAGAGAATAATACATGTAATGCAATTCCCAGGAATCATTTGAAGACATTTTAAGCGGTCTTCTTGGCAATAAAACAAATTGGTTTTACCATTTCTTGTCCCAAGTTGTTTAGATGCCTTCTGTCTGATATTTCTTAGTAGCCCACTATATTCCTACTAATTTGATATGACTCTGCTTAGCATTTTGAAATATTCTGAGGTTTATTAAAAATCTACTGAACAAGAAATATCTTAGTAATATCCAGTAAATATTTTTGTATTATACTTTATTGCAAGAGATGTCCGGATCTGGAATAGAGAATTCTATGATTTAAGGCATGAAAAATATTTAGATATTCAAGATTAGTAGGCACATAAACATCATTTTGGAATTACTGTGGGAAATTTTTTGCCCTCTAAATATTGCTAACCATAAGCATCAAATGCTATATTTTATAGATAATAACAAAACAAACATGATTCATTAGGAAATTCTTGGATAAAAATTCAATTGAAAATATATAAGATTTATATAGTTTGAATAGAAACTAGGTGATAGTCTGGAAACTCAACTGAAGGAACACACAGTTCCCATGAGCCATTCCTCTGTGTTTCCAAAGAAGCAGTATGAACTCAATACAAATCTGAGCAATCAATTAAATACATGAAAACCGATTTTTTAAAAAAGAGAATGAGAAACAGAAAACATCATACCAGCATGCCGATACGTTCTGGGTAAGTTTTTCAATTCAGCCAAGCTTACCAAGCATACCAAAAAAATGGATATTACCCACTTCATGTTTCCAAATTGTTTTGGGGCTAGAGTGGACAAGGTAGGAAGAACACATGGACAGGTGGAACTTTTATAGTATATCGCCCTGGCTGGATCTCAGGGTAATCACCACCCACCTTATCCTGTACCCATGGGAAGGTCAAAAGAAAAACACTTGTTAATAATTACAGTAATAAAATATTTGCCCATTTTGTTTGCTAAAGACAAGTATTGCCTCAAGAAATGTCTGCATTTTTTTCAGAACATGAATAAATAGACTTTTGGCTTATCACACTTCAAAAAAGTAAAGTAAACTGTTTTCTCTCTTGCCCTATAACCTTAGACCTTTGGAAATTTTGTCCAAAGGTGAATCAAATTGATGTGGATGGAGTAGCAGTTTTTCCTCAGGTTCAGAGCAAAGGTCCATGATGTTAATTTTCAAGACTACACATCTGAGCAAATATTTGATTTTTGCAACTGAGTCTGAAAATCTGGGCTAGAATCTGCAATAATAACTAGTAGAATAGCAATCACTATTAGTCCATGCACATCACCATATGAAGTGTGTCTGTGTCTAAGTATGTGTGATCTCTTCATTAAGGTTTAAGGACTATTAACCATCAAGCTGATCCAGTACTGGGTGATAGAGAAATTTTAATGACTTTTTTCAGTCTAGGGCTAAGAGAAAGCAACAGATCCAGAGTCATCCATCTGGCTTACCATGCATAAAAGAGAAATAGAACTTGCATCTCTCTCTGTTCCTAGTCTAGAACTCTTTCTATATGTGTATATATTATTGTTATTATTATCATCATCATCATCCCCAATCAATCATTTAAGGCTGATAGAGCAATGATTTTCAAGTTCTTAATTTATGAAGGAAATACATGTAATTATATAGGAAAAATCCCTTGGAGTGAGAGAGAATGGCTGGCCCAAAGTTACCCAACTGGTATCCATTTTCCTGATGGAGGACTATATATTGCATTTCTCCACTCCTAGTCCAGCACCTTAAGCAATACACTATACTGGCTGCCATTCTCTCCCCCCTCTCTCTCCCTCTCCCTCTCTATCATCTCTATCATCTCTTTCTACCTCTCTCTATCTCTCATCATATTGTTTTAATCATCTATATCTATATCCATTATCTATCTATCTATCTATCTATCTATCTATCTATCTATCTATCATCTATCTATCTATCTATCTATCTATCTGTCATCTGTCTATCTAGCTGTCCGTCTGTCTATCTATCATCTATCATCTATCTGATTTCTTACTGATAATGATTCTTCTTACTTTCTTCAAGATGGAATTTTTAGTTTTGGCTCCATCACTGAAATTGCTATTGCTCTATCAATGATTTCTTAGACATCTATTTTGAGCTTCATTTTAAATCAAATGAATGCTGATATAAAATAGCATAGGATTTTGCTTGAGTGAGAATTGGGAGGTTGTCCTGTTGGTTCCCAGGCCAACTGGCAGAGCCAGGTCCTCAAGCCTTTGCAAAAGGATAGGAAGATAGGAGCAAACCTCCCCTCCCAGAAGTCAGGATGTTCCAGAAGGCTGGCACTACAACAGATAAGGCTCTTGTCCTAGATCCCATCAGTCAGAATTCCTTGACTGACAGGTCCTCAGCAGACTTCATCTGCTGGTATAAGTAGGGTGGGATTAATGGGATGGAATGGTTCATCAAGTATTCTGGATCATATCTTTTGTCCCTTAATCTCCCAAAATGCAAACAACAAACAGACTTGAAGATTTTGCCCATTTTATTCTAGGAACTCCAGCACTGGAAAGGAGTTTTTCACAGGCCACATGCTTGTACAAACTATGGGCTTCACTTTTTGAAGCATTATCTAGAAGAGAACTGATAAATTATTATAGTATACAAGGATCAAACTAAATAAGTGTTGAAGAAAATACAGTTTCAATTGAGAAAAATAACTTTGAAACTCCTTATAGTTCATTAAAATTTTTATACTCTATGAAGTCAGATTGGTTGATGTGTGAAAAATTTGTATCTTTCATGTATCTAATATTGAGTGACCCAATATTAAAGCTGAGGGAAGAACTTGAATCAAAAGGTTATGTTTGCAATTGGTTTACTTACCAACTGGAAGAAAGATTTAAATTGGATGAAAAGAGTTTGATTTTGTTAAAAATGAATTGGAAATGTTATTGTGTGGAAATAATGAACATATTATTGCTAAGATTAATAAAATGTTATTGGCCATCCCCCACCAAGCCACACCCACCAAATCAATGCTTTAAAAAAAGTAAAAAAAAGTTTCAACAATTGTGTGGCACAGCTGTGATCGTTGGAAGCTTTTTTAAAGCAGTTTTTACTATCTATTCACCGGAACCAGTAGTAAAAAAATACTACCGAAGATCGCATGGCACAGCTGATTGTCAATCAGCACATTGAAAGCAATTCACACACACACACACACACACACACACACACACACACACACACACACAGAGAGAGAGAGAGAGAGAGAGAGAGAGAGAGAGAGAGAGAGAGAGAGAGAGAGGATGATCAAAATTAAAGGCACTTGTTTGTCATAATTAAGTTTCATAGGTTTGGTAAGTTTTAAAATAACAAAGCTAGATAAATAAAATGCCATTTTTTGAGAAGTCCAAAATATACACATGGCTTAATCAACAACCTAATGGACATTGGTGAACCTTGTATATGGGTGTGTATGGGAGCATCAGCTTCAAACTATTTATAAAACAAAAGCAATTTGATTTGGCATTTTGGTTAAAATGATAACATTAAAGTCTTTTAAATTCTCAAAATTCTTTGAAACTGAGTTATTTTGATTAATCAGTCTGAAACACTGAATTGATACTATTTTTCTTTTGTAACTTAAATCCATTGTTCACATTAATAATTGATGAAAAGCAGATATTGATATTCTTTTCTGGAACATTCTTTCAATATTTGATTTACTTGCAAGTTCACTGTGAAGAATAATGAGAAATAAGTTAGACATTTGTTAGATAAACTCAATCAACTTTATTCCAAGTTGGTCTAGCACTGTGATGGCAAACCTATGGCATGCGTGCCATAGGTGGCATGCAGTGCCCTCTCTGATGACATGCGAGCCATTGCCCTAGTTCAGCTCTGCTGTGCATGCGTGCTCACTGGTCTTCAGGTCTCTGCTTCTTGTCCTACCCTCAGGTGCTTTGGAGAAGAGCTTGACTCCCTCTTCTTTGTGGCAGCCCCTGAGATATTGGAACACTGCTATCATGTCTCCCCTAGTCCTTCTTTTCATTAAACTAGACATACCCAGTTCCTGCAACTGTTTTTCATATTGTTGTGGTCCACCAGCAGCCTGCAGAGCCGACAGCAGAGTCGGACAGTGAGAAGGTTGGGGAGGAACATGGGCCAGTCCTGGAGCCTGGGGAAGGCTCAGATGAGGACTCTGCATTGGAGGCAGAGAGGGGGCCAGGGCATCTGGGAGTTATGTGCTGCCTGTAGAGCTTCCAAAGTTGGACATTGATGAGGCAGAGGAACAGGGGGAGCCTGTTCCCAGTGTCTGTAAGTGCAGAGCTGCCAGAAGGCAAGAACAGTTAAGACAAAAGGGGAAACTCAGGAATGGGGGTTGGAGATGATTGGCCTCTCCATAAGACATAAAGGAGGGGCAAAGGCATGTGAGCCTTTGCAGGAAGCAACTTTGTTCGTTCTGGTTAGTTTAAATTCTGAAGCTCTGTTTTGACTCTGTGCTCTGTGTGGCCTTGCAAAGCTAATTGCCAATTAGGTCTTTGGCAGTGTGTCAAGGGAGATAAAGGTGGGTGCTTTTCAGCCTTATCCTAAAGGACTGTGGCAGCTTTCTGTCGGACTCTTTACAAAGTATTTGTGACTCATTATGGGCTGTAAAAGAACAGAATTCATAGCCATTGAAATAAAAAGAAGGTTTTGATAGCTTTTTACTGTCTCAGGCAGGTCAGAACACATATGTTTTAGCCTCCAGTCCCCTAATCATATCTGTTGCTCTTCTCTGCACTCTTTCTAGAGTCTCAACATCTTTGTTACATTGTGGTGACCAAAACTGGATGCAATATTGCAAGTGTGGCCATACCAAATGGTATTAACATTTCATGTGATCTTGATTCTATCCTTCTGTTTATGCAGCCTAGTACTGTGTTGGTTTTTTGGCAGCTGCAGCACACTGCTGGCTCATATTTAAGTGATTGTCCACTAGGACTCCAAGATCTCTCTCACAGTTACTAGTATTGAGCAAGGTGCCATATATTCTGTACCTGTGGATTTTGTTTTTCTTGCCTGCCTAAATATAGAACCTTACTTTTTGCACCATTGAATTTCATTTTGTTAGATAGCACTCAATATTAATTTCAGAGTAACTTTAATTTAAAAGAGCCAAGGTGGCGCAGAGGTTAGAGTGCAGCACTGCAGGCTACTTCAGCTGACTGCTAGCTGCAGTTTGGCAGTTCAAATCTCACCGGCTCAACCTTCCATCCTTGACTCAGCCTTCCATTCTTCTCAGGTGGGTAAAATGAGGACCCAGATTGTTGGGGGCAATGTGCTGACTCTGTAAACCACTTAGAGAGGGCTATAAAAGCACTATGAAGTGGTATATAAATCTAAGTGCTATTGCTAATTTCATAATTTTTCCCTTATTTGGGACATTTGTTTCCCAAAAATGTTCAATCAGACTTTGAGCAAATTCCTCATGATTCATTTAATCTAGCATTGGAAATTTAAGCAGATTCAAAGTAATTAGGCACTGACTATCTTTCTAGTCTACATTTCAATCATTTGTTGTTCCCCTAATAAAGGGGAACAAATCCCCTTTATTAGAGAAGGTTAGACTAAAGAAGGAGCAAGTAGTTCTGCTTTATGTTTGTAGCATGTTAGATATAACTCATCTATTAAAGCAATTTCCTGCACATAATTCCTTTCATATACATATGAATTGTTACATTAATCCCCAGGTTTTTAGATATTAGACTCAACTAAAACAATCACATCAGAAGAAAAACTGATTATAAAAGTAATGTGAGTCTTAATTTGATATTCAGTATGGTCATTT